CTGAACCGTCCCCCGAGATAGGGATCTGCTGGATCTGATTTAATAACTGCTCGCTAAAACCCGCACTAGACCCCAACTCCCTATCAAGCTTCCCCCTATCCCACGACCCGTCCGTCCAGAGGTCGCTCACAAGCAGGTAGGGGGAATGCGCCACCTGCCTATCCCTAGACAACGTCCTATCACCTACCCACCACTCATCCCAGACACTGACATCGCCCCTGCCCAAAGCCCAAAAGATGTGATCCTGGGCTCGTCTACCGACCCTAGTGAGGCGCCGCCACTGTCTGCTATCATGATCAACAGCTGTGACCCAACAAGAGTGGTTGGCACGTCTAGGGCAGTACTTGCCGCGAAGGTACTGAGCCCAAAGCGACTTTCCTTCCCTGAAGCGCCACCACAACTTGTATGAGAAAGCTGTAACAATATCCCTGAGGCGGCGGATGCCAAGGCCACCCTCGGGGAGGGGGCGACAGATAGAGTCCCAACTCACCGAGTGAGTACGTCTCCCCCTCCCAGAACCGTCCTCATAACCCCAGAAATAACGAGCCATAATCTGATCAAGCTCGTAAAGAGTAGACCTAGGGGGGTCGAGGACCATAAGCAAGTGAATCGGAAGGGAGCTAAGAGTGCTCTTGATCAGCGCTAGCCGACCACCGAAAGAAAGATGTCTATGCGACCAACCGGAGATCCTGTCGATCATCCTCTGCCTGACGCTCGCAAAGAGCGCTCTCGTGAGGTTGCCCTTATATAAAGGGACCCCGAGGTAGGTAATGGGAAGGTCGTCATGCGCAAAGCCAGTAATGTCGTGGACCCGCTGAGCCCATCTGTCCACGGTGGCAGATGAGAGGATGAAGGTGCTCTTCTGCACACTGACCAGCTGACCGGTGACCAAGCCATAGTGGTCCGGAAGGCGCATAAGCCGACCAGTCCATCATCATCCGCCCGGGTGAAGATAATGAAGTCATCCGCATAAGAAAGGTGAGAGATGGTAGGACCATAGCCACGGGTGCTATAGGTCATATGAGGAGAGTCGCGGATGAAGCCGTCAAGGCAGCGAGAATGTAGTCCGCCGCAAGAACGAAGAGGGAAGGGGAAAGGGGGTCACCCTGTCTAAGGCCTCTAGAGGAGAGAAAGAAATCGGTGGGGCTGCCATTAACCAGGACCGAGAACGTGCAATACTCCACACGCCTCCACAAAGCTGATCCAACGCTCAGGAAATCCCATCCTAGCCAGCGCCTCCCTAAGAAACGGCCACTCAACCCTATCATACGCCTTAGCCATGTCTAGCTTCAACGCGATATTCGGAGCCCGCTTCCAGTCCGCTCGGGAGATGTCGTGGATCATCTCCTGGGTCAGAAGGATGTTATCACTAATGACCCGATCTGTGACGAATCCACTCTGGTTCAGAGAGATGAGGGAGTGGAGAAGAGGGGAAAGACGGCCGTTAAGAATCTTCGAAATGAGCTTGTTGGTCACGTTACACAGGCTGATGGGCCTGTAATCGGACCAAGAGCTCGGGTTGGGTCTTTTGGGGATCAAGACGACAGAGGTAGACGTGAAGGAATCCGGCATCCGATGGCCGGAGAAAAAATCCAACATCGCCTCCTCGACGTCAGTCTCGACAAGATCCCAGTAGACCTGATAGAAGAGGGAGGAGAAACCATCTGGGCCAGAAACGCTGTTGGGATCAATCCCGAATACAGCATCCCTAACCTCCTCCCTGCTCGGGAGCTCACAGAGGCCAATGAGATCGACCGAAGGATGGATGGTGGGGAAAAGAGGAATGGTCGGGGCCACAAGGGACCCTCTGTCAGAGATGAAGAGGGTCTGGAAGTGAGCAACAGCCGAATCCCGAATCTGAACCTCTTGGGTCAAGGATGACCCATCAGCCTCGATACTATGGATGTACGACTTAGCACGTTTCTACCTAACGCAGCCCTGGAAGAACCTAGTATTCCGCTCGCCCTCGACCACCCAGCGAACGGCCGGCTTCTGCTTCCAGAAGTCCTCCTCCATAAGGAGTCGGAGCTGGTACTCGGCGTGGCAGCGGTGCATGGTAGTCCTATTCTCCGGAGTGGGATCCAGGTCGTAGGCCCGCTCAGCCGTCGCGTGCGCACTCTGAGCCGCAGCAAGGCGCTGATGAAGGTTTCCAAAAACATCCCAGTTCCACTGTCTCAACCGACGCCGCAGTCTGCCAAGCTTTGCCTCGAGATTGCTGCATCCCGAAGAGCCCAGTCGGCTGAAGCCAGGAATCCCTGACAGTGTCGTGGAAGGAGTGGTGGCGAACCCACATGTTCTGGAACCTAAACGAAGAGCGACAGTGGGTGCTCGAAAATCGGCACCGGATGAGAAGGGGTGAATGGTCGGACCCAAATCGAGTAAGGTGTGTGATTGTCGTAACCGCAAACACCTTCGACCACGCCTCAGAAACTAAGGCACGGCCTAACCTCTCTTTGAGTCCGTCCCTCACCCACGTGAAGGGCTCACCATCACATCCAGCGTCAATTAACTCGCAGTCCGCCACCGCCTGAGCAAAATCCCACATCTCCCGTGACCGGTCCGTGCGGCCACCCACACGCTCATCGGGATGCAGAAAGATGTTGAAATCGCCACTAACTATCCATGGCAATCCCTCCATACTCTCGGCAATCTCACGCAGGGTGTCCCAAAGGTCATACCGCCCGATCCTAGTACACTTGGCATAAACCAAGGTGTGAAAGATGGGCTCCGGGAGGTGGACAGCAGAAAGCTCAACGTGAAGCACCTGATCGGTGTCGCGAATGACCCGACAAGTGTAGTCACGCGAGTAGAAAAACCAAATCTTGTGCGAAGTATTACCCATGCCCGAGTGGAAGCCAAGGCGACGCGAGTAGTAGTCAAAAGAAGGAACGCAAGTCATCGGCTCAATAAAGCCTACGAAATCGACTCTGTGATCACGAATGAGAGAATGAAGGTGAGAGAGAGTAGCCCTGTTCGCCAGGCCATGGCCATTCCAAGTAATGGATGTGATGGACATATCAACGATCGCAAGAGCCACCGGACGTAGTCCGCCTATGGCGAGGCTGATTCGGGCCACCTAAAGAAGGGGAGATCGTCCGTCGTGTCGTGCGACGGAAGGATCCAATAGCAGGGGAGATCGTCCGCCGTGTCGTGCGCTGTGTGGCTCTGGTCCTCGAGGTCTGTCTGCCTCGGTATGTGCTCGTGGCCTGTGAGTTGTTTGGCTGGGCAGACTGACCTATAGCAGCACTAGCGGGTTTCCCCATCTCCGGGGCTATCTCCTGTCTGTCCAAGTGAAGAAATGCACTAGAGGCGAAGCTCTCGCACGAAACGTCATGCTGCGCACGGTTAAGCCCGCATATCTGCTCGGGGATGGGTGAAAGAGGGGGTCCAGCAGGCGGAGTACTCGGGTGCTCGCCGCTAGGAGGAAGCTGGGAGCTGGCTATAAGATCGACCGAGTTTCTAATCTCAGCAGAGGGGGGATGGGCCGACTTATCCCCTTTCGAGGGAGCAGTGGCGGCAGTAGCCCTCAAATTCGAAGATCGGACCGGGCTAGATGCGCGCACGGTCAAAGGACCGGCATCTTGCGCACTATCATCGGATAGGTGGATGGACTCTCCCCTGGGCGTGGCGTCCGGCTGGTCCATGTCGTCTCCAAGGAGGTCTTCGTCATCCAGAAGCGTAAGATCGGTAATCTTAGGTGGCCCGCTGGAGGAAAGAACAACCTCCTTCTCTGTCTCTGGAGAGAGAATAGCGAAATACGAGTGGTTGGCCTTGAAGGCCGTCTGTAAGGTCTGTCTAGGGAGAAAGCCCGTGGACTTGGGCTTGGGCCCCACTAAGGCCAACTGCTTAGGCTGGTTAGGATGAGCATCCTTCCCAGTTTGGGCAGTATCTACAATCACAGCTTTGCCCTTATCCTTAGACCCCTTCGGGGTCTCGGGTGCGCGGAGAGGGCTTTTTTCCTTTCACTTCGGGTCCCTCCGGCCGGTGGAGGTTCCCTGCTGTGTCGCACGATGACGCTGCGGCAGAGCGGGCCGTGGCTTATTGCCACTGATGTAGCAATCAGCCGCGATATGACCCACATGGTTGCACAAGGTGCAGAATGCGGGGATCTTCTCATAGATCACCCGCTGAACAAGTGACTTGGAGCCCTGTTCAATCTCAATCTCATGGACGAGCTCAGCTCTCAGATCTATCTCGACGCAGAATCGTGCCACGTTAGCCCTTGTCTGAAGGGCCGTGGGGGCATCGATACGAATCAACTGCCCAATACACTTAGCTAGTGTAGTGATGGCAGCACGGTCGTAAAGATGAGGTGGGAGGCCGGGAAGACGGCACCACACGGGGACAACCGGCGCCTCCGTCTTCGGGTTAAACCTGACATAATATTTGAACACCCTAGCTGGGCATCCACATAAATGAATCGAGGTCTTAAGCCAGACCTCGTTATAGTCCTCGGGGAGGTGGAAAGACACTAAAAGGTGGTTGAAATTGTACCACTTAAATGAAACTCTACCCTTAAAACCCAATTTGCCTAATCCAGCAGATATGTCTCGAGGGGCAGGGATAGTATATGAGAACTTAAAGACCAGGGTGTTAGCTAACTTACCTGCAAGAGCGACAGATTCGGCTTCGGTGTATCGGGCCTTCACTTTGTTCCCCTCCGAGCGGATAATGGTCCCGCAAGCATGTTCGTATCCCCCGTCAAAAACAAAATCCTTCGGTGTTGGCAGCGGGGTACTCGAGCCGCCATCTCTCCTCCCGGTAATAGCCTCCCGAAAGGAAAGCGGGCCAGTGGAGGTGCCCGTGGGGGCCTCGGTTATGGCGGAAATGGCATTGATTGGGGCCGGAGGAGTCCCGATTGCGACTGAATTGGTGATCGAATTGCCCGTCAGCGTTGTCCCATTCGGGAGAGGTCCGGAAGGGTGATCCGTGGTTGTCGTAGATGGGCTCGCAGCGATCGCACCATCATCGGTGGCAAAAGTAGCTATTCTGGCGGGATGCTAGGGCGAGGCGGGGAGGTTTGGTCGGGGTCCAAGTATTCCCTTCGAGAAATCCGCTTCATAACCCGCCCTTGCCGGAGTTCTGGCCACTTGCGATTTTTCGGTGGTCCTATTGGCGCCGGCGCCGGCTCCGGCTAGAGGCTGGAAAGAAGCTTCCACAGTTGTAGCGGGCTTGGGAGTGGTGGAGATGGGCTGTGTGGCCGCTGAAGAGCCGGTCATCTGGGTTTTTTTGGTGACAGAGGCTATACCGGCGCCGGCGCCGCCGTCTGTCGGGAGTTGATCAGCGGCTGTCTGTGGGAGTTGAGAGCAGAGGGAATGGCAGATATTGGATTGATGCCAGCCTGTTTATGGGATGAGGAAGATGCTGTTACGGGCTGGGGAGTGATGTGATTGGGCTGGGAGGATATTAGTTTGGTGGATTGGCCGGGCCCAAAAACAGGTAGGCCCAAGAAAGGTGAAATCAGAATTGGAGGGTTTGGGGCCTCGATTTCGGGATTGGTCTGAATTGGGCCTGAGGATATTTGGCCCAAATTATTATTATGTCCCAATAGATGGGCCTGGGGTTGGGTTGGGGAAGAGGAAGGATGTTGGGCCTGGATGTGTGGCACGATGGGCCCGATAATTGTCCAGAGAGCTGAGGGTTTGTTTGAGGAGCTAAGGGTTTGGGGTCCAGTGACGCGCCTCCATGTGTACGGGACAGGTGAGCTGAGGGTTTGGGAGAATCTGCTTTTGAAGAGCGAACCGGATTCGATACTGTTGTCGGCGGCATAGAACCAAAGCAGACCTGCTGACTTCAATTTTTTGTCCCCGTCAAAACCGGTGCTGACGTCGATCGAGAGAGAGCAGGGAAATCGCCATGGTTATTTCTTTCGGAGTTTGCGTCTGTAGGGTCTTTCACAGTGGTCGGCGCATCAAGTGGGGTCAACGGAGAGGATGACTGTGTAATCTTGACGACGTTAGAGGGGTCGCCGGCGACTGAACTGTGGTTCGCGACTGGGATCTCGCCTTCTTCTAAAATCTGAGATGAGGGGTTGTTTCTCATGAAGGCCAGGATGGCGTTTCTGAAATCCGGCACTGAGAAAATTGATTCAAGATCCAGCGAGTCGGTGGTCGAGAAAGGGGATGAGGATGCCGAAATAGGAGAAACTTGCGGGGGAGACATGGTGGAGCTGCGGGTTGGTTAAGGTGAGAGCATTTCTTTTCGCTTTCTTCTAAAAAATTTTGTTGCTAGATTAGTTCTTTCTTGCTGCTAGGTTAGTTCTTTCTTGCTGCTAGGTTAATTGTCTTTTGTTGCTAGGTTAGTTCTTTCTTGCTGCTAGGTTAAGTGTCTTTTGTTGCTAGATTATTTCTTTCTCGCTGCTAGGTTAGTTGTCTTTTGTTGCTAGGTTAGTTCTTTCTTGCTGCTAGGTTAGTTGTCTTTTGTTGCTAGATTATTTCTTTCCCGCTGCTAGGTTAGTTGTCTTTTGTTGCTAGGTTAGTTCTTTTTTGCTGCTAGGTTAGTTGTCTTGTATTGCTAGGTTAGTTCTTTCTTGCTGCTAGTTTAGTTGTCTTTTGTTACTAGGTTATTTTGCTGCTAGTTTAGTTGTCTTGTGTTGCTAGGTTAGTTCTTTCTTGCTGCTAGGTTAGTTGTCTTTTGTTGCTAGATTATTTCTTTCTCGCTGCTAGTTGTCTTTTGTTGCTAGGTTAGTTCTTTCTTACTGCTGTTTCTTGCTGCTAGTTTAGTTGTCTTTTGTTGCTAGGTTATTTTGTTGCTAGGTTAGTTCTTTCTTGCTGTTAGGTTAGTTAGTTGCCTTTTGTTGCTAGGTTAGTTGTCTTGTGTTGTTAGGTTAGTTGTCTGATGCTGCTAAGTTAGTTGTGTTTTGTTGCTAGGTTAGTTGTCTGATGCTGCTAAGTTAGTTGTATTTTTTTTTTATAAAAAAATTGTAGCCCATAGGATTTGAACCTGGTACCTCATGGAAGCAAGACAAGCAATGCAACCACTACACCACTCAAGGTTTAGTATCTTTTGTTGCTAGGTTATTTATTTCAATGCGACGGGTCAACGCCACAAGTCAATGGTCAACGTCGGAAGTCAACACCGGAAGTCAACGGTCAACGCAGGAAGTCAACGATTCTCGCCGGAAGTCAACGCCGGAGTCAACGGTCAACGCCGGAGTCAACAGTCAACGCCGGAGTCAACTAATAATTATTTTATTATTTAATTAATGTATATTTTAATTGATTTTGATTTAGACAAAATGAGTGGCTAAGATTGAGTCTCATGTACTCATTTTAAGGAATGGTCTCATTGGATCCATCCCCTATATATATATATATATATATATAGGGTCACACTTTGGTGAAAATGGTACTCAGTGAAATAAATAAGAATAAATCTTAGCCACATATATTTGATCATCCAACCATTAAAAAAAACCCAAAATTTTAACACATTAAGGGTAATATGGTCATTCTTCAACAACCCACATCAATGGGGACCCACACCACACCTACACATTAAATCACACCAGCTATACTCTCTCTTCTTCCCCGTCGGTAACGTCGCTCTCTCTCTCTCTCTTTCTCTCTCTCTCTCTCTCACAAACACACACAAAACTCACGCAGCACACTCGAAAAACACACACACGCACACAAAACACACAAAACACACAAAACTCACGCTGCACACACAGAAAACACACACTAGGGATGGCAATTTGACCCGGACCCGATCCGACCTGGCCCGACCTGTTGCCTTTGGGGCAAGTTAGACCCGCCCCGTTATCAAAACGGGCCAGGGTGGGTCCGCCCCGTTCTGTAAACGGGCCAGGTCCGCCCCGTTCTGTAAACGGGCCAGGTCCGGGTTACAGATGTTGGCCCGCCCCGACCTGCCCCGGCCCGACCTGACCCAGTCATAATGTAGTCCAAAGACCGGTAAGTAAGGCCTATTAAAATTCTCACTTTCTTTTTTTCTCCCCACTTCAAATTCTAGTACCAGTGTCATAATGGAGTCAAAAGGTAAGTAAGGCCCATTCTCTCACTTATTTTTTTCTCCCCAATTCAATTTTTGTTATCACGTATTTTCTCCATTTTCTAATCCTTTCCTTCTCCTCATTCTTTTATTTCACCTTCCAAAAATTTGTCGCAGGTCTCTTCCTTTTCTTCTATTTCTCAATCTTTTAATTCTCCTTAAAAAATTTCTCCCTCAATTGCATGTTTTATTCTTTAATTATTTTTTTCTCTTTATTCTTTTATCATTTCAGTTCAGATCTGGGGATTGAGAGGCGGCGGCCGTGAGCCACGACTGGAAGAGGGATGCAGGCACGGTTGGAGACGGCGATTGCAGATGGTGGTATCACTCAGGCCAATAAGAGCAGCTATTTCATTGATATTAGTTAGTGTTTTGAGGTTTGATTTGCTTAATTTTTGTATTATCCATTTGTAAAAAAAAATCCTTTTTGTATGAGATTTAAAATTGGCATCTTTGTTTCTTTCTTTCTCTTTTTGATAAATTCGGAATTTACATCTGTATTATGTTGCCTTTTTCGGTGAGATATGGCTGCCTTATTAGAAGAAGAAGAAAAAAAAAAGAAAAAAAAAACATATGGGGCAGGGCGGGTCGGCCCGCCCCGACGCGGGCCAGGTCTCGGGGCCGTTCTAGTGGACCCGTAGGGGGCACGGGCCAGGTCGTGCCATGCGTGTAGGGTCACGGGCCAGGTCCGGGCATGGCACTACCCGGCCCGACCTGGCCCATTGCCATCCCTAGTATGAATAGACGATAAGCAAGCTTATGTTGATGCACGATGATCGACCAATTTGAGCGTTTCCACTTCATATTTATGAAAGAAACCGAGTGAGGCATATATGTTTGATATTCCCATGCTTGAGCGTCTGTGTTCTTAAAGCGTTGCATTCGAGTTGTAATTGAGGTATGTTATATTGGTCATTGGAAGTCTCCTCGGCTAAGTTGGTTAATTTGAGACTCGTCTTATTTGAAACTGTTATCCATGCTGGTTTGCTTGTTTTCATGTCTTTTCTTTTCTTTTTGTTCGGGACGAACAAAGGTTTTAGTGTGGGGGAGTTGTTTGTCCCATTTTTGTTGCGTTTTTCTTACTTATTTTTCCTTTCTTTTTCCCCCATATTAGGTCTATTCCTTGGTTTTTAGGTTGTTTTATGGTTTATTGTGTGTTTTGCTTTATTTTGGTTTTTCTTGTGTTTTCCGTTTGTTTTTCCGGTTTTTCTTTGTTTGCGGTGTGCAGGTCGAAAGCTTTGGGAGAATCTATTTTCCANAATTCGATTAACACGGATAAAAAAAATCGCACTACATAATTCACGGTGTTACCAAACAAAGATGTACATTATTGGAAATCAGGCTGCACAATATTGCTAGATCAAATGCACAATAGTCTGAAAATGCGCATTAAAATATATCATAAAAAAAAAAAAACATAACCAAATAAATTATATATATAGATATTAATTGTTTTCAACAAACAATAATATAGAATAAAAAATATAAATACTAAATTATTTCTTTTATTACATAAATAATTTGATAAGTGCACATACATATAAACTGAAAATACACATTATTAATTTTTATAAAATTATATCGCAGTAAAAATTACACACAACATGATACACAATAATATTAGAATAAATACACATTATTGTATGTGTGAATGCACAACATCAATTTCAGGAGTTCATATATTATATTGTTCAACTAAAAAATAATTTAAAACTAATTAATTCAAACTTATAATACCAAATATAATAGCAATATAAATAATAAATTAGCTTGATTCTTTGAGGTTGTGCGGTTAACTGGTCGAATACACTATATAATTCAATTTATTTTTAATTACGTCAAGATAAAAAAATTATCATATTAGAATGCACAATAGCGATCGAGAACGTGCACAATAGTGATAGACAAGTTGCACATTAATGTTTATCAAACTGTACACTAGTGACCGAACACGACCGAACTAAAATTTTTCGGTTCGAAATTTCAATTTAATTATCTATTTTTTTACTTTTAAAAATTTGAATATTTCAATTTCATGTCACATTATTAATTAAAATGATCGAGACAATTAAACCGACTAAAACGATAAGCTGTGCAAAATTTATAGTTTAATAAAATCATAATGTGAATATTAATGTGCATTTTAACCCATAATATTGTGCATTCTTTGTATCATTAATGTGCACATATTAAATTATTATAAATTACTTAAAACCAGAATGGTTCAAACCCATTCCTAAGAACGCTTCCAATTGATGACACTTACCGAAAGAAACAAACGGGTAAGAAACTCAGTCAAATCGATTCAACATGCCATACACATTAAAATACAAAAAAAAAAAATTATATTTACATCAAAGTCCCTAGGACTTGTTGAATTCACAAAATAGAGTCCCTAAACCAAAAAACATATTCCCCTCATATTCCCCCTGCAGACACCCTCCGCTGCCGTCCTCCGCCCTCCGCCCAACTTCCGCAGCCCGCCGCCATCCGCCTGCCTTCTGCCGCCGCCTGAGACCACTGCTCAATCACCGCCGCCTCTTTCGACTTGAAACGCCGCACTCTCTACTCCATCCTTCGCCGCCCGCCGCCGTCGCCAACGCGGTTCCCGGACCAGCGCCACCACTACCCCCCCACGGACAACAATACACCATCACTCAGACCGCAACCGTCATGTCGGCTGCCTCCACCACATACACGACGACTATTTCGATGACGATCTGCCGCTTCCTACACCGGCGCCGCCGGTCATGCTTACAAATAAAATGGCCGGTCGCCGAGGACCACTCAGTCGCCGCCATTTCCAGTAATATTGATGGAGGTGGCGCCTCGTGGCCGGGGACGTCGTCTTCCTCGGGACATTGTCACCGGCCTGAAGTGTGTGTGTGTGTGTATGTTTGTGTGTGTATGAGTTTGTGTGTGCAGATGTGTTTTGTGTGTGTGAGTGTGTGTGCAGCGTGGGTTGTGTGTGTAAGAGCATCCACAATGCTTTGGGTTCAATCCCAAAAAGTTATATGCCACCTAAGAAATAGACTCAGTCTAAAAAAATATATTCTTCAATGCAAATAAAAGTGGGCTGGGTCCTACTGATGGGGCACCCAGAAAAAGAGACCCGGTCTCCTCTTTAGTCTATTTTAGACCCAAGTAGAGACCTAGTCTCTTTGCATTGAAGTAAATTTTTTTAGTTTTACATAGTTTTATCTATGTCATCCAAGACTTTGGTTTATTTACATGTCGCATAGGAAAGACTAGACCCAATGCATTGTAGATGCTCTAATGTGTGTGTGTGTGTGTGCGTGTATGTGTGTCTGGGGGAAAGAGAAAGAGGGAGGGAGTAGGTGGTAGGTGGGGGTGTCACGTGATTTGTGATGGTTTTAATGTGGGTAGTGGTGGATCCCACAAGTTAGGTTTGAATTAAATGTCTATATTACCCTTAATTATTGGTTAAATATACCTATTTGATCATAATATGATCAAATAATTACTAGAATGCCATTATTGATTGACTATGGTTTGACTTCATCATACCCATTGATATGATTCATCTTATGGTCCAGATTCATTTTTATTTCTTTTACTATCTACCATTCTCATATGATCCCAACTCTCTCTCTCTCTCTCTCTCTCTCTCTCTCTCTATATATATATATATATATATATAGGGGCTGGTTCAAATAAAAATTAGTCCTGGTGTGAGAACCGTGAGAACTATATTTGATGTTGTTTTTAATGTTATATGATGCTATTTTTAATATTTGATGATGCTATTATTTTCACATATGCTAATATAAATTGTGTTGCTATTTTTAATCAAATTCATCTTGGTTAAAAATAGCACCAAACACAATTGCATCCAACATGATTCATTGTGTTTGGTGCTATTTTTAACCAGGATGAATTTTATTAAAAATAGCAACACAATTGGATCCAACTTACCAATGAAATATAGCAGTCAAATATGTTGTGGCAATTTCATAAATAGGTGTATAATTAGTGGTCATATGTATACATTTGACCACTAATTAAGGATAACGTGGTAATTACGGACTACATACTCATCCACATGCCCCACGTGGGTGTTAGTGTTATACACTGAAAGCTTGGCTTTCCATGTTATTACACATTTACCCTTTATGAATGAGAATCATGTTAGATTAAACAAGTTCTACGTTCTGTTGTTCTGCACTTAGATAGGGTGGGTCGTCATCGGGCGAACCGAAGATCACTCTATCAGTCACTTGCGAACAAGAATAGTTGTTCACAACCTAGATGGACATGAACACCCCATCCGAACGGTTGTAGTGTCAATTGTACAGTTTGTCTTGACTGATTAGTTGCACTAGTACATTTATGTATTGAACAGGATCCCAGAGAGGAGAAGTTCATTTTATGCTGATCGTCGTAAATGAATTAGGCCTCAGTTAATTACTGCGTTCTCTTAACCCGTAAGATATTGAACAGGCAGATATATATAATTTATATTACTTTGATTCACATGGGTGAGGTTCAGTTCGCTGGATTAATATTCCTACTGTTTTGGGTAATATTATTATATATAGGATGTGCTGTTAGGATATTTACGGTCACCATGTGCACCATGTGCGTTAGTTTGATGATGTCCCCGGAGTGAGTTCGTGAAGGATTGTTATGCTAAACCCTGCAGGTGTATTAAATTCCGGCATAATAAGAATGTGATGAACGAGCGCTAGCTTCAGTGAAATAATAATAAATTAATTAATTCTTGATTGTCAGTAATCGAATTAATTAATGGACATTATATCTTAAACGTGGGGAGGTAAATCGAGTAATTATTATTGGAGTCTCAAATGTAATTTGGGCTAGGAAGAGGGAGTGCAATAATATAATGTTGGTGGCCCATTAATATTATTTAATTAATTAGAAGAGTGGGCTTGGCCCACAGTTAGTCTAATTAATTAAGTAGCCCTTTTCCTAATCTCCTTAGGGTCCCTACTGTAGCTCTATATATACATCATTAAGCTCATGAGAAGAGTATAGAAAATCTCATATTCACGAGATATACACGCCCCACGCGTCTCTCTCTCTCTAGATCTCATTCGAGCTTTATCTTCTTCTTGTTGCTCCACTGGTACAAGTTGAAGAAGGGTGTATTGAGTAATACAGTAGAAGATCTGTAGGTAAACCGAGACGAAATAGATTTTGACCTACAGAACTAACCGGAAGTCCGAGTGAGACGTATAGTATACCCAGACGACCGTCTCGACGAGAGCTTTCCATCGCCGTTGACGTCGCCGGAATCAGAAGCCGCACGCGCCCTCACGCGCCGCCGGAAGGTGTCTGGCAGCAAAATTTCGTTTTGATCTGTTTGCATCCGTTTGATTCAGTTTTGATCTGATCTTGTTCGCGCAACCCAAGACGTGATTTGCGGTCAATCAATTGCGGTCAACCGTTCGTGGTCAGCCAGATCTACATAAATTTTAAGCCGTAAGTTCTCTACGTCAAACCTTTAAATCCGCTGCGCATAGGTTTACGTTTGCTATTGAATTCGTGATTTGTGCATAACGAGATCCTTACAGATCCCAACAGTGGGCCCTATCACCACCACCACAATTAAGCCTCATTGACTCAATCTCTCTCATGCACATACACACACATAATCTTAAATTGGTTCACGCCATTTGACTTTAAGCTCTCACAAAATTTGCAGCCCACCGCCATCTACCACCACCGGCCGCTGCCCGCCACCGCTCGCCGCATTTCACTCGTACCATCTCTCCGCCAAAAAATCCGGCTTTATTCTCTACATTTTCTCCCGGCGTCGGCCGCTTCATCCTCCTTCCGGCAAGCTTGGATGATATCACAGCCGCACATCTCGTTTATCGTCATTCGTTCCATGCCATCGATCTGCGCAGGCATGAAAAATCGGTTCGACGATGGCAGGATGCCGACGACGATTGTTCCCTGCCCTCGGTTCCGATTTGCATCTGGATTCTGGCCGCCACCGTGGGGCTTGATCCGGTGGTCATCAGCACATTCCAATGGTCGAACGTGTGAGCAGTTGCGGCGGGTATCCGGCGAATAACGGGTGTCTGTGCGGCTAAGGTGGTTGGGATTTGTGGGGTTTGCTTTTGTAAATTAAATAACTCTTAGGGACTTATCTGTAGATTAATAAAATTTAATTATATTACAATTCAATTCATGGGTCAAAATTATAATTTGTTAAACAATTCAAATTGAACAACATTAATAAGTACATTTGCACAATATTGTGTGTGTACACGCACATTAAAAAAATACTATCATATTTATACGAATTTATTAAAAAATAATAAAATATGCAATATTGATAAATGATTTGTACAATATTGTGTGTAGTTATGCTCTTTAAGATTAAAAAAAATATATATATAATCAAACTGAAATATAAAATTACGATCCGAAAATTTTGATTTGGTCGATTCTAGATGCTATTGTGCAATCTAGTAGTCATTAATATGCAACCAGTAAAACATTATCGTGCACCCGTAGTTAATGCATGTTTGTTTCGTCTTGCCCCAAACCAAACTAAAACCGGACAAAATGGTAAGTTTATTTGATCGGTTAACCGAAACAATTTATAATTTACGTTATAAAAATTGTATTCAATGGTTTTACGCTTTGTTTAATATTTCAATAGTGTTTTTTTGTTGTAAATACCTAAAATATATAACTAACAAAATAATATTTTATTTTATAATTCGATTAGTTCAATTATTTTCATAAAAGAAAACTGACCCTGAGCTGAAATAACCAAAAATATATAATGTAAAAATGGATATCCAAAATATTTGGACTCAAAAACTTAGTTTAGTCGGTTTCGTTTGCTATGGTGCAATATGTCAGTCATTAATGTGCAATCCTTATACCACTAATGTGCATTCGGAGTGCAATTATGTTTTTATTGATTTGTGCCAACCAACTTAAGAACATCATAATCGGTTTATTTGATATTGTGAAAGTTGCAACTAATTCTTCCAACATATGAGCTGATTGTTCTGTGTTGAGTCTTACAAATATTATGAGCTTTCAGAGCATTGGTGATTCGGATGAACGCGAGGAGCTGACTGCTTTTGCTAATTGGAGTGCGAACATCGGGGATGAAACCATTGGGGAATCCAATGATAAATAATGTGCCTTGATAGACATACTTGATGATATATTGTTGGAGCCCACGGATTATCCTACGCTGCAATTGTTGAGAGCACATATCCAATGTTTAAGCATGCGACTAATGATTCCAGTTATTTGAAAGATAGTACTATACTAGCCCCAACGTTGGAGGTGGTTGAGTATCAATGAGTACATAACATCTTTGAACGTGACTGATGATCAAACATACTTGAGCTTTGATAATACGTGTAAATCCGATTCCAATAATGATTTTTTGTCTGATCTCCACACCCTCGAGTTTTTAAATACTATCAGATGTTCTGGGGTTCCGAACCATGAATTGAATTTTAAGATATGAACCCTAGTCATGTTGTAGAAGATTGACCGTTTTATGGTGTTGTGCAATAGTACGAGATGCAGTTTTTCCCTAATGGTTTCTTATTCCATGACGATTAACAAAAGCTAGGGTTAGCCTTTATCACATGTTGACATGTTCTTGACGAAGTCGATGTTCATTCACAACCAATTACATGTAGTTGTTTCCATTGGCTTGAAAATATTAGTTCGCGGGGAGGATGGTGTGCCAAGGTGAAAAATGTTGTCTACAAGAAGATTTTTAATAATAAATAACAGTCTTTTTTATTCTATTTATTCAATTTTCTTTGTTCACGAATATATTAATAAGGTTGGGTAAATTACTTTAAAATTGTCCACCTCGTGCATTGCACGGGCTCTATACTAGTTTAACTCAAACTAACTCTTTTCAATATTATCAATATAAGAAATAATATCAATCAATCATCTTCAAATCAACTTTAATCATTACGATAGCCTATCTTTAGCTATCATCCCGTCACATAATTTTGGCTACTTATCTTTCAATCACCTATCTACTACTTTTACATCAAATCAACTTTAATTATTTTATTTTAAATATTATTTTAATAAAATTTAAAATATCAGTCAAACCTAACTCAAGTAATTTTTTCAAATTAACTATGGTTAACAAAAAAAAATCAATATATATATATATAGGAAAGAGTTCAAATGAGAACCAAATCCTAGTGTGAGGACCGTTATTTTTAATTGTATGTAGTGCTATGATTTAGTGTGTTTTAGTGCTATTTTTAACTACGATGTATTTGATTAACAATATCAATAAAATTTTTATTAGCATTTGTGAAATGATATCTCTATGCAATATTAAAAATAGCATCAAAAATGGTTCTCACGGTTCTCACACCAGCACTAGTTTATGGGTTGGTTCAAATAAAAACTAGTGCTGGTGTGAGAACCGTGAGAACCATTTTTGATGCTATTTTTTATTGTTTATGATGCTATTTTTCATATTAGATGATGCTATTATTTTTACAAGTGCTACCAGAAATTGTGTTGTTATTTTTAATAAAATTCATCCTAGTTAAAAATAGCACAAAAAATAATCAATCATAGCACTACGCACAAATAAAAGTAGCGGTTCTCACGATTCTGACACTAAGACTTGGTTTTCATTTGAACCACATTATATATATATATATATATATATATATATATATATATATCCAATCACACCTTAAGGCTCGAATATACTAGGCTCGTTAAGTGCTCGAGTTCAGCTAGTTTATAGTTCTACCCACCACTATGATACTTAATTGAAATAAAATTAATTTAAATGTAAATTGTGTAAAATACATTGATAAGTAAGATTCTCTGTTCTTTATTTTGTCTTGTTTATCTCCGTGATTTTGACCCAACAGCTAAACAAGTCGCATAGGTTAAACTCGACCAGAAAAAAGGTTTATTTAAATACAACAATTTTTCTTGAAAAGCATTGAGATTAGCTTTTGTCCGATATTCCTCTCAATAATTGTGTGTATAAAATAACAAATGCAAGAGGCTATCAATCTCACTAAGGACAGACACAGTAGGCAAAAAAACATTCATTACATCACAATCTATAGTCTTGGTGGGTCGTATCAGTACAAGCTGCTATTAACCTGGCCAATTGGATGTGAGAATTATTTTATTTTGTTTTGGTGAACAAGGTTCATGGACTTATTTTATTTTAGTTTGACGAACAAGTATTTTCTTTTAACGATAAAATTTATTAATAAAAATATATATTTACGAAGGCTAAGTAAGGAGGTCTACCTATGGCCTCCTTCATTTTTTAATATTTACATATTTTATAAGTAATTCATATTTTATTTATTTATATTACATTAACTCTAATAATTTATTTTTTTATTATATGTATTTACAATTTCATAACTATTTCTGTTTCTCCTCATACAAACTTTTCCCATTTTGTATCACTATTATTCAGACGAGATATTTTGTTTTTCTTTTCAATCTCAAAGTATCACTGCTTAATTAATGCCTACGATAACTTTGGACAATAATTTATCACACATTTTATTTTTGGGAAAAAAAATTATAATCTCTCAAAATATGTCATTTTTTGAGTTTGTCATAAAAACTTTATTTTTTGACAATTTGTCTCCCAATGGAAACTGACAATTCGCCTCCTCGATTAAAAACTCTAATATGACACGAAAGAGTTTTTAACTCAATTAATATAAATTTTAAATTAATCTTTAAATTTGATTTAGGGCTTTTAAAGCCCATGACGAGATGAACAAAATGAGGTATGGTTTGTCGATTTTTGAAAATTGATACTTCTAAAATCGATTCACGAAGATAGCAGGAGCACGTATGTTATAGAAAAAATTTCAATTCAAGATTTTTGATAATCAAGGTATTTGATTTTTGATTGGAAGGTGTCATTTAAAAGCTTGAAGGATTAGTTTTCTATCAAAATAAATCTTATGAAAATCCAACGGTCGGAATTGGGTTAGTAGCCTAAAAAAAAGCTAACTATTGATCAGTAGTTTTCAAAATACTTATCAAAATCCGACTTTTCATAAGATTTACGCGTTATAAAATTTGTCCTACTAGCTTTTAAATGACATCTCCCAATCGAAAATCAGATATCTTAATTATAAGAAAACTTGAATTGAAATTTTTTCTATACACACATACTGCTACTATCTTCGTGGATCGATTATAGAGGTATCAATTTTTAAAATTCGACAAATCATATCTCATTTGTTTGTCTCGTCATGGGCTTTAAAAGCCCTAAATCAATTTTAAAGATTAATATAAAATTTATCATTAATTGAGTTAAAACTCTTTTGTGCCATATTAGGGTTTTTAATCGAGGAGGCAAGTTGTCAGTTTCGATTACATTGGGAGGCAAATTGTAAAAAAGAATAAAATTATGGCAAACTCAAAAACAAATGGCATACTTTGGGAGGTTATAAAAAAAAATTCCTTTATTTTTTCTTTGATTAATTAATTTTATTTATTTCAAAATATATTAAACTAATATGAACAAACTCTTAGTCATAACTAACAATTACATACAACAATTAAAAAGTTACACTTGCATAAGATATAATAATATGTTTATCTCATATTCAATTTATATAAAAAAAAAACGATTTTTTGTGAATGAATTGTTGGAAAAGGGTACACAACAATATTCTAGCCAACATTTCAAGAATCATGACCAATAATATATAATGACTTCATCAAAATCATTAATTTATTTAAAAACGTGAAAATCCAAAACTAATAAAAAAAATTATTTCAGAAAAGTCATAACTGATACTCTTAGTGAAGAATTATCTATTCTGACAAACATGGGTAAAACAATAAAGATATTGCTGTTGGAAGTTCACATTAGAAACCACCAAAGTGCAATGATGCAAAGATTAACAAGCTGAAAATCAGATCAAGAGTTTTTCAAGATAGCTGAAAATCAGATCAACTCACTTGGCCTTTTCCCATAAAACCGAAGTTGAGATCATTTATATGTAAGGTCCAATATTAGAAACCAAAGGAATCACAAATCTGGGACAAGAAAAGTAATTAATAATTCTTACCCACATTAATTTACTACTACTTTATTTTTTTTTAATTTCTTAACTCAGCTGTCATTATACATCACTATTTGCTTCCATCTTATACAATTTTATAATTACAACAGAAACCCTCAATCTTGGTCTAATTACAAAAAAATCCCCATCTATATTTAAAAGTTTCAGATGGCCCCCAATTATTTGTTTTATTCTACATACTCGATTTTCATCCTATTTATCCAAACCGAGTCTGAACTGTTGGATCAACACACACATCACATCTATATATATTGAAAAAGAGAGGTCAATAAATCCTTTTGGAAAAGTTTTAAAAAATTTGAAGTCAACCTTATTGACTTACCCATTTTGGTAAGATTTTGAAACGTGGAATTCAATTTTTTGATACAGATTGGCGTGAGCAATTTGTGGCCTATTTTTAGGTTGACTTCGAATGAATTGTTATCAAAATCTCCTTATTTATCTCTATTAGTATGAAACCGCCGTTTAAAAAGATTTTATCCTTATTTAACAGATTCTTATCTTTTGGTTATATACTAACAATATCCTCCCACAATTTCGGTAGAGATAAACATGTACAGTGTATAAAAGGGTAGTCATTGATACCCTTTTTAATTCACCTCATCAAACGCGCAACACACCCATAATACAAAAGTAAAAGAAAACATCATGACACCATATTTTGAAAACATCCACGCCGTCAACATATCCAACAAGCCTTTTTTGAGGTTGAGAGTAATCCGTTTGATTGAAACTCATGACGATCTGGAGCATCGGAATGCATTTTATATCCTGTTCATGATCAACAGGTAATTAATCGAATTGTTTTATTAATACATAACTACATGTAGAACTACTATTAGTTTCATATCATGTTTCAATATTTTTTTTTTAATTTATATTAATTACAAAATGTAGGGTTCATACATCACTGGAATAGTGCGTTCGCATATCGTAGGATTATATCGAGATCGCCTTAAAGAGGGCAATGTGTACATAATTCGCAATTATAATGTTGAATATAATAGGGGGAGGAACAATGCAATAACCCACCATTGGAAGCTTGTGCTTAATGGAAGAACTGATGTATGCAAGTACAATGAGAATTCTCCTCAATACAATTTTCTTCAACACTAGCGAGTGGCATCGTTCTGGATGCGGCATGGATTATGTTATGATTTGATTATAATTAATTTTATTATCTTTAGATTCAAGTAATAATTTTAGTAATTGTCATTTTCATTAATTGACATTTTCAGTGCCCGACATTTGTTGGTTTAATATGTACTTTGATTTCAATTTCCCAATTATAGGGTTTGTTGAAATTTATTCTTTAATTTATTCCGTTTGTGAATCAATTTTTCGCCAATTTTGATGCCATTTTATTATGTTTTCTGTTCTACAAAAATGTCGTGTAGATCTTTATTAAACACCAATTATCAATATTTTAGTTGGTTATTAAAAAATTAAGTTGATAAATTCCAATAAATTTTATAATTAACTGTCCGAAACTTAATAAGACAACGAGTATCACAATAGATTGATGTTGTATTATAATATACATCTTACTATCTTTTTTTTTCGATAAATTTACACGGATGAAAATTAGGCCAAATAGTGAAATAAATTTAATATAATCAAATTGAAATAACAACCTTCATAATAATTTGTGTATTGTATGAAAATTATTTTTAATTGAACGGATTTTATTGATATTACACTATAATAAATTAATTGAACGGATTTTACGTATATTACATTATATTTATATTACACTTATAAACCATTTTAGTGATAACTCAAATCTTAAATCTTCGTAATTCAACTGATATATCTGAAAGTTGATCGCTAAAATATCTCTTTCCTTTTTAATTGAATATTAAAATCAATTGTTTATTTTGTGACACTGATATATATGTAATCTTTCCATATATATTTGCATACAAATCTCTTTAAAATTCTAAACGAATTTGGGAGACATAACTAAGTTGGATTCCTCAATAAAATCTGATTTACAAATAATTTATATTATATTTGTAATTTCAATTTTTGCAAATACTATTACCACTATAAATAAACAACCAAAAAAACCAAAGCGCGTTAAATAAACCCTCACAACACCGTAATAGTATTTGTATCGACTCTTAGCGAGAAAAAGAAAAAAAAAACATGGACCAATATGGCTTGATCAGACAGTTCAAATTGAATATGATGAATATGAGCTTCGTTCTTAAGCTTAGGGCCATACGTGTATTCAACCGAGCCTACCCGAGCAATCTAGAAATAGTTTTTCACGATATGGAGGTTATTGTAGTGCATTAAATTTGTTTTACGATTATTGATTAATTTTGTTTCTCATTAACAATTTTTTTTTGTTTGTTAGGGGAGCCGTATAACTGGCATTGTTCGTGATATGCCTATATTCCCTGGAGGTTTTGAGGAGGGTGGAGTGTATTTAATAAGCAACTACCTACTAGACATCAACGTTAATAAATTTCGATCTACTAATAGAGACTACAAAATCGTAATCCATGGGGACACTGAAGTTCTTCACATGCTCACTGATTTCCCTACATGGCCATTTGACTTTAAAAGTTTTGCGAATTTTCATGATATGGACATCGTTGATGACTCGATTCTTCATGGTAAAAATTTTAATTTGTGTTGGATTCAAAAATTGTCATAATTTTAATTTTTTTATTCATATATTAATTAATAAATCGATATTTATTTTTTGTAAATATATTGTAGATGCTATTGGGATGGTCGTCGAGGAGCAACCCCATTCATTCCGAATGGATTCATGAAAAATAAAAGCAAAAGATAGTTTTTT